TGTTGATATCAGGCATGTTTAATACAAATAAAGCAAAATCAATATTGTTTAAATCAATAAGTTTATTAATATAAATAACTACAATAAATTCAATTATAGTTGTATTTTGAAAATTAAAATGTCTAAATGATCACACGGGGACTAATCGAGGACAATCACGGGGTCGGACACAGTGTTCACTGAGTCTATCCAGTCGGACGGTCCCAGTATTGCAGGCATAGCCGGGCGCGCACTTAGCGGTACAGCCGATGGGTATACCAATGTTTTGACACGTTATGGGACACGCGGTAACGCACGGACTATAATGGGTGTTAGGGCATACTGCACATTTATTAAAACAATATTAAAAGTTTAATTATTATGATCTCATCGTAGCGTAGGGCAAATCGATGGCAAAAAGGGTACTAGTTATAATGTTTAATATGCTTAAAATGATCGAGGTGAAACATTAAGTACGTCCCATTATGAACAGGGCCAGAGACGATATGATTATGATTATTGTCAAGCACTTACTCTTGGAGTAGGATAGACCGGACAATGACGAGATGATAAACATAGTTAATAATAATGTATCCATTGTTATATTAATACTGAGTATGTTTAAAGGGTAATTTAATTTAAACTAGTAAAAATGATTGTTTTTATTAATTTCTCAGAATTTTAGATTTATATATACACATTTTCTATTATAAAAATAGCTAACAAATTGCATATTCCGGTTATAATCTGTATTACTATTGCATTTGCTTAATGTCGGAAAAGGATATCCATCTAAATATTAATTAAGTGACAACAAGATATAAATCACGTAATTTTGTATTTAAAAATATACAATAAAAAATAACAATTATAAAATCAATCAAAAGTAAATTATATTAGTGTCTCAAAATAGTTAAGATATTTCTCTTATTCTATACTGTATTACAATCAATATTAGACTGTAACTTTATATTTCATTACATTTTAATATAGCTAAATGTTAACTCGTCAATATTTTAATGGAAGCTCATGGAAACATTCTAAGAGAACCTTCATATGAGATATTTGTATACACTATTATCATAATAATTTGATCTATTTTATAACTCAAATTTAATATTATAGCAGAATATTATAATGTTAGATTAAATAAAGTTAATATAATGTTTTATTATTTATTTTATAAATTTTATTAATGATAAATGATAAATTAAAATAAATATCGTATTAATTATATATTTATAATTATCAGCAAATGTCAACTGTTTATCAGCCAAATCGGGGACAACTACGGGGTCGGACACAGTGGTGACTGAGTCTATCCCGACGCACGTACCCGGCATTGCAGGTACAGCCGGGGATACACTGGTAGGTACAGGCAAACGGGGGTCGACTTTGGTTTTGACACGTTATGGGACACGCGCTACCGCATCGATTATAATGACCGTTAATGCACCCTGTATAAATTTAATATAAATATACTAATCAATCAATAACGTTGATTGTAGTAAATACTTACTCTGGGTGTAGGATATGCCGGTCAGTGATAAGACTATCAACATGGTTAAAAATAATGCTCGCATCGCTATATTAATACAGGGTATGTTCTGTGGTATAATTATTATGGTTTAATTTAATATTAATAAATATGAAAATGTTTGTTAGTTTCTTGGAATTTGCTGTTTATTTATATACTCTTTAAATTTTTCAAATATACATGTATAGCAGCATTTGTTTTCCGGATATATCTTGTCTGGGTAGTTTATATTATATTATTATTTAAGCATAATATAAATAATTGAAAAAGGATTTCCAACTCAATAAAAAATATCAGTTAATTTTATAGGAAATAAAATAAAATTAATGTAATTATTTAATAAAAATTATGCAATAAAATTGACAGTAAATAAACCAATGCACTAGGTGTTACTTTCGATAATATAAAGTATACTTTATATACAGTAATTATACTGATTAATTCTATTAATCCTAATAAGCTTTATATGCGTTATAAATGATAGCTGTTAATTAAATTTAAAGAAATGTGTTAAACCTTTAGTTGTAATCAGCCGTATAATATATTTTGTAATTAGTATAATTAATAATTATAATTATAAAGTATTTATATAAAGTATTTTCAAATGTAACATTTTTAGTGCATTGAATTACTTTGAATTTAATTAACAACAATCATTTATAATGCATTTAAAAGCTTATTAGGATTAATATAATTAATCAGTATAATTATATAAAGTATACTTTATATTATTGAAAGTAACACCTAGTGCATTGATTTATTTACTATCGATTTTATTGCATAATTTTTATTAAATAATTACTATTCTATTACTAATAGAAAATAGATATTATGTTTAACTTTATATACATGATTTAAAATCATTGATTTTATAATGATTAAATTGTTGTGTGCGTTAAAATTGTTTAGGGACACTTAGACATGTGCACTTATTTTACCATGATTGTAATACATTTATTTAGTTAGATTAGTGTTTATATAAAAAAATTAATAGTAAATTATAATTGTGTAATAATCCCTGCTTAGTAAGGCAACCGTTCGGAAGCGTTTTGGAAGCGTTTTTCATAGTTGTGAGCACAATAATGACTATTACAACTATTTGTTCATTTTAAAGCATTAGTTAAATTTCTAATTCTAAAGATTATATGACTAATTCATGGGTTTTATTTAGTCTGCATATTAAATGACTCATATTCCGGTTGCTCTACTGCTTAGTTCCAAGAATTCATAATCAAAATATAATGTTTATTAGGCAATCATAATTAGTTTCCAATTTGTATATAAACAACAATCAATTGCAATATTAAATTAAAAAGCATAAATTATTTTTATAAATTTTGTAATAAGTTTTAAAAATTATTTAATTAACACATTAACTAGTTTACAGAACCCCCCACTTTATGCCTTTACCTAACCTAACCAAACATAATATAACTATAAATTAACGTTAAACCCGTCGGGGAGGCGTGGGGGCGGGGCTATACATACTGTAATTGTTATTTAGTAATTTTATTCAACAATCAAACCCGTGCGCGCGCTTTCAATTTCCAGTTTTTCACTTTTAAAAAACTAAATTTAATTAATTTCATTGTTGTAGCAGGGCGAGCTAATTTGCATATTTAATTGTTTGACGGGTGTTTACATACAAAAATGAATTATTATATTAATATCTGATTTATAATTGAATCAAATTTTAATTTAATGAATAAACTAGCATAGAACCACCCGTCGCTTACTATTACTTTTTCGTGCGATTAGACTACCTTAAAATTTACTTGTCCCTACTTTTCTTAATTGTCCCTACCTACCCAACCTAACCTAAACCAAGTCAATATAACTTAAACATTATAAATATGGCCAACAATTCATTAGCCCGCGTGCTTGTAATCAACAATTTGGCTTTTTGACCAATCAGCTTTTTAACAATTAAAATCTCTGCGCGCTTGCTTTTCCCGTTAAAAAATAAATCATTTAAATTATAAATCATTGTTGCATGCCCTACAGTTTATATTGTTGAACAATGTTCACCAACAAAATCTTTTGATATATGCCTCCCTGTGCTCTACCATAGCCTCCCTGTGCTCTACCATAGCCTCCCTGTGCTCTACCATAGCCTCCCTGTGCTCTCCCATAGCCTCCCT